TGAATTTGAATGTGTTGGCTGAGGGGGTTTTGGCAGTGAGATACTGTGGTGGAGGCAAACCATCCTTTGATAAGTTTGATAATTAATTCTTTAGTTTATGATCAGTTGCTTAGCAGTGATCAACCCATTTTGGCACTAGCTGTAAACCTGACTTAAGGATTTATTGAGTTACTCTTTGCTCTTTAAAAAGTACAAATGCTGAAGTGTTTCTCACTCGTATTGTGGTGTAGTTGTGACTGTTGGCACATTTTTGTTTGTCAGGTACACACTCGTGAAGGCCCCTCTAGTTCTCTAAATTTAACGTTTCTGTGGGGCCAGCTACTTGAGAGAAAGGCTTTAATGGAAAGTTGGGTTTTAATGGAAAGTCAGGCTTTAATGGAGAAGCATAATTACGAAAAGCAGGCTTAATCCTCCTTTACTGTGCTCTGAAATTTTGTGCTAGTGAATATTTTCCACTGCTGCGGTTCCTTTTCAATGCTGTGTATATCAGCTGAGAGTGATTTTTCGAATTAATATAATAGTAAATGAATTTCTTCTCTTCCGTAGCTCCTGAACACATACCTTGCCTTTTACTGTCCCGTATTCACAGCTTTCCCCAAATAGGCTGACAGCAAGTAGATACAGAATGTTTGAAAATTAACTTGTATGCAAGAGAAAAGAAAATCCTAGTAGGTTATTACTCTAGAAGAGGTTGTAAGTTTATTCTCCATGTACCACTAGTGGTTAAAAGCCCATAGCACTAATCATATGCATTTTTATTTACAGATTAGTAGGCTCTACTCTGACATATGACTAACAGGGAAGCCCCTCCCTTAAACAGTTGTATGTCATCTGCTTCAGTGAACTAATTACTTGGCAATTCCCATTTGATAATTCCCTTTTTATTTTCTGATGAGTTACTTAACAGTGATGAGCTTGTTGAGCAGAATACCATGCTTAATCTGTGCTTCTGAAGCTACAGTGCGGGCCTGGGGATATCATTGTTTTCTGAATGCTGTTTAGCCTTGCCATAGGAACTTTGAAACCACACTAAGACATGTTAACAGTTCACAGTCAACGGTAAGCTAAATACGAGTGATATGTAGCATTAGCCAAAAAATAAAAAAGGGGTTTAGGTTACTGTTGCACTAGAGAAAGGATAATAAATATATAATTTCTAAAAAAACCCCAAACCCAAACAGCCCCAAAACAAAATCTAACATAATTAAGACACTAAGAAGCAGAAGCTTGTGTCAGAGATACGTTCTTTATATCATTCTCCTCTCCACTGAAATAATCAATTGACAGGAAATCTTATTCTTTAAAAAAACAGTTTCTTTTAATATCTCTGACAGTTCAGCTGATACTGGTGATGGTTGTGTTGTTTTAATGAGAGATACTTTGTTACTCTCATTTTGTCACTTAATGAGAGATAAATTGTCACTGTGTTTTCTCTACTGTTACCTGTCTTTTTTATTCTTCCCCAAGCCCTTTTCACATTCTTTCACTCTAGTGGCCACAGCAACCGTTGTTTCTGGCTGGGGAATGCATTTCCAGTCTCACTGCTAATTACAACATTGCAGTGTTGCTAGAGGGTACCTGAGTTCAGCAGTGCTTAGTTACTGCGGCGGACAAGGGGATTTATGGGGTGAAGTGACATCAGCCTTCTTACAGCAGTCCTGGTAAGGTCAGAATGAGCCTCCTCTGTGGGCCAGGAGTCAGATGGATCCTCTTCAGGCCCAGTGCCTCTGAAACTCAACCATGTGAAACCAGGCTGTTGAATTCGATTAAGATTTTATTACTAACTTCAGTACAGGAGGGTTTGTGGACCAGCTACAGTCACTTTGACTAGCTGATGGCATTATCCTGCAGATGTGATACCTGAAGAATTGGATTTTAGTTGAACTGGTGTTACAAGCTGAGAATTGGGCTATTTTTTCTTGAAAGCGTAGTGTAGTACTTTGTGTATTAGCTCAGATGACATTGCATCATCAGACTTGCTGATTTATTAGGTATTCACAATGATATCTCTTGGCCAGCACTGGAAGCTGTGCCACAGGCTTGTTTTATCAATGAGAAAAATGTATTTGTACATCGTTACATGTGTTTTTTGTAAAATTCATCAGAGGAACAGTAATTTTATGAAACATAGAATGCAGAACAGATTAATCTACCTTAATTGTGTTCATGAAGTACACCAGCTATAAAATCTTTTGAAAGGAATATTAATCAAGTTGATCAAAGGTGGCTTGAAGTACAGAATTCAAATAGGAATGCAATTACTTTCTGCCTGCCTGTATGTTTGCCATGGCTTGTGTGATTTTTTTTTTTTGTATTTTTTAATTCAAAATGAATTTCCATCTTGCTTTTTGGATTTATTTTTTTTTGTTACAGAATTTATCATGTTTTAAAAGTGAAGATATAAGAAGGTAAAACAGACAAAATTTTGCATTTTAGAAAATGTAGTAAGTAGGGAGCATAATAAAATAAGCAATTAAAACCCAGCAGAAGGTCACTGAACATTTTTTTTTATTATTTTTAATTTATTTTTTATCCTATTTAATTTTTTAACTACTCAACAGTATCTCTGGTAGTGCTGTGCAGGCATTGCTGAAAGCAGAAATCCTCCATAAGAATCAGAAAAGAAATGTGATGGAGAGCAGAGTGCCCCAGCTGTGATCTGAAAGGTTTGCTTACACACCCAGGAGCTGACCCTTGACAGATCCTTCTACAAACCACTATAGCTGCTGTGGATCTGCATCCCAAGCCATGGTGTCATATTTATTTTACAGAGGTAGCCAAAGTTTCTAGCCAATGATTTGGACTGATCTTCAACCACCTGCTCAGAGGTGGTCTGTCCAACTGTGAATTTTCCACCCTTCTTTCACCTTCCTCTTCAGGCTTACCAGCATCTCACTAAAGACTGAGACTCTGCTCAGGCAGCATTGACTGTTATGTCAGAAGAGCCCCAAGGACCCCAGATCTGGCTCAGGGTATTTTCTTCCCTCATCGAGAAAAGGCAATGAATGGTTGCTTGTCATTAAAGTAGAGCTATTGAGTAAAATGTTTGGCCCCAGACACACTGATACTGGTATTTCTATCAATATTCATGCAAGTAAAACACTACCGTATGAATATCATGAACATGATCTTTCAGTTAGCATGAGATTTTAATTGCATACTAGTGTCTTAAGATTTGAGTGTGTGGTTTAAAACAAGCAAACAGAGCCCAGCTCATTAACATATGGTGGAGGTTTCTCTGTTGACAACTGCTGTGTCTCCCTGACATTCAAATGAAATGGTACCTTCCCCCCTACTTTATTATAAATGAGAGAACTAATAAATCCTACATTTTACGTTTTTTTCCTCTGGATTCCCTTTCCTTTTTCCCACCTGCTACCCTGGGCCATGTTAGCGTGACTCCTCTGCGAGCAACACTTGCTGATGGAATAGCAAAATATGATCTGTTAGATACGGGCAAATGCTTTGCTTTTGCATCTCCTAGTTTGCAGAACTGAGAAGCTGCCTCACCTCTTTGCTTAGATCTTGTCTGTCTCCTTTTTGAATCAGGGATGAGTTTCAGGTTTCCTACTTAGTAGTCTTGCTAAATTTTCTTGGATATCTGCTGTGATTTGGCCTGACATTTTTGTTGTTAATGACACAGTCTTGGAAATCACTTGTGATTTCCTTTGTGAACTTGACAATTGATAAAGTAAATGATAGCGAGACAAGTGACACGGCAGTGCTGTCTCTGTGACGTGCCTTTGTTCTCTTTTATGGGGAAAGAGGATGATGGTGGATCATGAATTGTAATGATGGGACAAGGGGTAATGGGTTCAAACTTAAGCAGGGGAGATTTAGATTAGATATAAGGAAGAAATTCTTTACTGTGAGGGTGGTGAGGCACTGGAATGGGTTGCCCAGGGAAGCTGTGAATGCTCCATCCCTGGAAGTGTTTAAGGCTGGGTTGGATGGGGCCTTGAGCAGCCTGGTCTAGTGGAAGATGTCCTTGCCCATGGCAGGGGGTTTGGAACTGGATGATCTTAAGGTCCTTTCCAACCCAAACCATTCTGAGATTCTGTGACTTTATGGACCAATCTATAGTTTAAAACTGCACTGTGTGTTTGTTTGGATAGTGCACAGAGTATATTATATGGTGCCTTAAAAATTCATGTGATACTGCAATATTTTAAGGACCAAAGAAGCAGTAAAAGTCTGCATTTTGTTCCATATTTGCACAAGCTGGCAGAAGAACTCAGTCCTGGTGCTTGGGTTTCAACTGTGAGAATGATACAAGGCAGCATGCATGCATCCTACCATTTGGTGGTCACTACCAGTTTATTTTGGTTGCAGCTCAGCAGCAGATTCAGGGGGTGTACAGTGGTTAGTGACAGAGTAAATTAAAGTAATTCCTGAGTGGAAGCGTGACATTTGTTACATGACACTACTGTCCAGATGTTGTTGTCTGCTAGAGTACAGCCAGAGAAGGCCCTAAAGAAAATAGAGGTAGGTAGAAGGTTTATAGTAAGCAGATGAAATACATAAAACAGCAGCAGTCAAGTATGCCTCTGTTGCCTAAGGAGTCGAGCTTGTTGAATGTCACGTTGGCTGTATGGAATGGAAGAAATGCAAACTAAGACACACTTCTGCTACGTGTGCAGCCCTGCTATGAAGCGCGTTCATCTGAGCTGTCAGCTGGCTGGCTGCAGTGTTTGGTGCTGTTCATATAGCTCAGCCTGAGTGCCTCTGTGAAACCAGTAGTGCTGCACTGCTTGTGCTGCAGCAGACAGGGGTTTTATGCTCGTTATCTTGTTCAGTGTGAGCTGTGCATGTTCTGTGTTGCACTGAGGCACTCGGCCAAAGGCTCTGGTGGAGTAAGGGGTCAGGTTCCCACCTCCCTTACTTACTTAGATGGTTTAAATGGAGCCATGTGGGTGTAAATGTGGTGTGACAGAGCATGGGATCTGTCTCAGGGTCTCTGGGGTGTGTTGGGCCCTCTGTACTCAGAGCTCTTGTTGGCAGATCAGTGCTGCTGCCCAGACACTGCTTGTTTGGAGTTGAGTTTGGTAGGTACAGCAGTTGAGGGTTTGCCTGGCTTCTCCTTCAGGTGAAGAGGAAATGAAAACTGTTCCTTGGTCTAGTGTCATCTGTCTTCTTTCCTTTTAGTGCTTCAGGTGGATGTATTGGTGAATTAGAATGACCCTTCTTTATATAGCCCAAGCAGTGCTTTGCCCTTTCATCCTTCTGTCACATTTTAACCTTTGCCAGACTTTATTCTTTTACTGCTGGCCAATTAATTTTTCTTCTCACCCCCTTCTCTACCAGGATTCTCCCGTACTCAGCAGTTCTTGCTGCTGCATAGCTGACCTACTTGTACAGCTCCCTCGCCGTGTTTGTTACCTGCACAATACTTTGATGGTGTGTTGGCCCTTTCTTCAGCTTGATTTTTTTCGTGTGTGTTTCTATGTGTCTAAAATCTATTTCTGCTCAGAAGGTTTCAATACCTTAGTAATTTTCTGCAGAACTGCCAATTTGAATTTTGTTTCATCTACCTCCCTTCCTTCCTTGTTAGTCATAGCTGAATTCTGAGCTTTGCAGCCCCGATGATCTGCCTGGACAAGCCTTTCGCTCTGTACAGCCTTCTCCCTCTGTCCATGGGAAAACCCCCTTTATTTCTGCTCTGAAGCTTCATTGTGGGTGCCCATTTCCCTGGCCGAACATTGGATTTTTGGTCCCTGGCTTTCAGCTGCAGTGTCTCTTCAGCAGGCATCTTGCTTTCCAGGCCTGTCAGCTGGTCTCCAACAAATCAGTTGCGTATGTTTGCTTGCATAATGTTACATGCTGGCATTGTAAAACAAAAATAATTGAAATATAAGTCATTCAGTTTTTTCTCTGTACCTGAGCATGAGCTGGGAGCCACCCCCCTTGGGTCATTTGTTCATGAGATAATGGGGTCACTGTTACTTTATTATCATATCACGTGGTCTGCTGATCAAAGGATTCCTTTACTGTGTTAATAGCAGCACTTCAAACTGTTAATGTTAGTAAGTTTAAAAAATATAATACACTTTTTCACATGTCATACTGGTGGGGCAGAAGTAACAGCTTGGGCAGTTTTCCTTGGACTTCCAGTCGTTCTCACACCTTGACTTTGCTCCGGTGGCAGAGTTCTGTAGTAACAGGTTGCAAAACTTTCAAGGTAAACAAAAGAAAGAATGTTTGAAAAGCACTTCATTCAGAAAAAGAAAAGAAATTGAACATGGTATGTGTTTTGAGTGAGGCTCTTCAGCAGGGGAAAAATTCCTGGACTGCTATGGAGAAGTACAGGAATGAAGTACCCACTGAATGAGTGAAGTTCACAGAAGGTGTGAAGTGGAAAAAATGTGGGGGTGTTTGGTTGGGGTTTTTTTTTGTGTCTGTGTGTTATCAGTGTGTTTTTGCCAAGGACTGACTATTGGAATGATAATGTGGTTATAGTAGATTGAAAAAAACCACCAAAATAACAAACAAACAAAAAACCAAAAGCAAGCAAAAAACCAAAGCAAACCAACAAACAAACCACCAGAGCAATTTAATAAGTATTTTGGTTGATAATTTTGGAGGTGATGTTTTCTCAAAAGCCTTAGGTTTTTAACTGAATGAAAAAATTGTCAAAAAATAATGCTTTTATCTGAAAATTGATACCCCTTCTTGTTATAAGTAACACCAAAAAAGATACAAACTAAAGGACGTTAAAGGAAAATATACATGGATTTACTCATTGTATTTAACAATAGCTTGAGTATAGTTAGTTTCACTTTTCCTGTATGTGGACAGTTTCCCAAGGTGAGAGAAGCATATGAAGAAAAACAACCACATGCTTATAAGATTATAAACATCGGTGGAGGGATCTTGAAGGTATGAGTTACTACTTTTACAATCCTCCATTAAAAACAAGACTAGACTCCATATTGATGGAGTCCTTTTAAAGGCAGTGCCCTTTTAATCAGCAAACAGGTCCTCTGTGCATCAAATAATTAAAAATAGAGCAAAGTTTCTGAACAAGGCGTCTGGCAGAAACGTCTGTACTTCCATCTGTGCATGATTAGCAGAATGTTTCATGATATTTAAATAGCACAAGCTTTGCTCTCTTTTTTATTATTTGTTGTGCTGAAGACCTGTTTGCTTGTTAAATGGTCTTTTTTGAATAGTTACTGGAAAGGAATCAGGAAAGTGTATGAAGACATCTTGTACACACTGCAAATGCCAATTTGTCCCTTTTTTCAAGGAGACACTGCCCTTCTTTTTATTTTTTATTTTTTATTTTTTATTTTTTATTTTTTATTTTATTTTTTTATTTTTTTTATAGGAGCTCTACCACATCCTTCACTTGGTGTTTAGAATTTCTTATGGACTGGTTCGTTGCAGGGGGAGTTCAGCACATATTGTGGTCACTGCCCATGGACTACAGTTTCCCTGATAACAGCTATTATTTTTATAACAGTGGAGTTCAGAGCATGCTACACTGTTTGTACACACCAGGGTTATTCGCAGAGTACATGTGGCAGTTCAGATCTGCAGTTTCTGCTGGTGGTGCGGGTGCCCGATGTCTAATCTGCAACACACACTGCTGTGAAGCCTTACCCTTTCAGAAGGGACGTAATCAGCCCGGCAACAGCTTTCCAAGTGGTTTTAAGGCCTGAAGCTGGAACTCCTCCTTGCTGGCAGTCATTCAACATCACGCTGCGTGCTCTTCCTCTCTGGCTAGCAACAGGGTGCTTTCCAGTTGTAGCCACTGATTTTGCATCGTGCTAGTGAAGTTTTCGAGTGTGTGTTTTACAGAGGCATGTACAAGTAGGTATGTGATGAAAAGAAACTGCTGTCTGGATGCGAAGTGCATTGCTGTAGCTGGCTGAGAGCAGTTTTCTTAAGTGCAAGTGCCTGGTTGTTTGGAGCCGGCAGGCTGGCAGGGAGCTGAGACACTGATGGGCTTAGAGGTCCTTTGTGGAGAGCCAGTATTCAGTCTTTGGACAATTTGTATTCCTGGATGGGCATGGAAAATAAGAGCTTTTGTGTCATGTATAACTAGCATTTTACTCTGTAGCTGGGCTTTTTGGTTTTGTTATTTTTCTGTCATCTTGTGTTTTGAGAAAAGCTGTGACGTGTGAATGCTGACTGGGATCATCTCTTAACTTCAGTTCAGGACTTCAACAGAAATTGTGGTTACTACTGTGCACCTGACAACATAAGTATATAAACTCTGCTTATTCATACCTCAGATAACACCTCAGAGAAGCCTTGGCTTTGGAGAAAGAGCCTCCTGTGAGATAGCCTCCACGTATGGTTCACCTCACGTGGTGGTTACTGGTGTTTGTCTTGTTTCTGGCCCAGATTCTGCAGAGCAGTGTGCTCTGAGGCTTCAGAGCAAATTCTTCTAAGCCGGGTTGTATACATATTGTATTGTATGCGGGCAAGAGGTTAGAAAGACCATTTTGCAAATACCTGTCCATTGTGTGGTTCAGCTTCCAGATGCCTGGGGAGACCTGAAGATGAATGAGTAGATGTGGAGGAGTCCTGCAAGGGAAGGAACAATTATATTTTACTGTGAGAGGTCAGAGCAATATGTATGCCTGTTCCTTCAGCTAGACACTGAACTAATGCGTGAAGCAGTTCCACTCACATTTTATTCATGTTGCTCCTAAAAATATAATGTTGGCCCCCTTAACAGCTGATTTCTGCAGAAAGGAGAATTACTTCTAGAACTGATTCTTGATCAGTGTAGTTGGGTTGCCTTATATTAGCATGCCTTCAGGAGCAGGAAGGAGAAGGAAGACTTGGGCTCATTTTAGAAAGATGTATAAAGTTGCGTTGGTAGCTTGGTTAAAGTAAGCCAAGTTTTGTGTTTTGCTTCTAGTACTTATCCTCAGAATATACCATAATGGGTTTTTTTGGAACATCTTCAGCTTATGTTGTGAGTGTGAATTAATTAACATTAGTATGACTTGCATATTGTCCAATGGAATTTGTTTTTCTGTATCTTCTGTCATGCTCAAGGTACTTCAAACACTTTAAAATAATGAGTTCAGCCTTAATAGTGCTGTGACTCTGTAGAAAATCACAGCTGTCCTTCTGGGTGCAACAGGAGATCAAATTCAAGGATGGTTTCGGTGACTGGAGTGGGAAGAATACTGGTTGTGATGTTAGTGTTACCCCTGCTATTTTTTAAAAAGCATCTGTGACAGGCTTCTTATTTTGGCAGCTTGGATTTTGCTGTTTATTACTTCATTTATAACTCTCAGTGCAGTGTAAACAGAACGATGAAGAGTTGCAGGGCACATTATTCATAAGCTGTTGCTTAAACCTCACTGTTGCATTTCTAGCTCTAATTATTTCACATCATGACATACTACATGAAAAAGCTGGTAGCCCTTGATTTCCTGAAACAAAACCAAGTCTTCCTTTTATGACCCTGCAAAGCACATTGTAGCAAAGCAGGTAAACTGGATTTCAGCCTAAGATGGTAGGCTCTTGTTGATTTGTGTGAAAAATGAGGGTTCCATTAATTGTCTGCGGGGCTCCAGAGGAGAGGGGGTGCCTTGTATCACTCAAAAAAAATTCCTTTCAGCTGGCTAGAGAGAAGTATGGATAGCATCCAGCATTCATACATCCAAGTACAAGGCTTATAATGGAAAAGTTGATGACCGGTCAGTATAGAAGTACTAGCAAGTATTTATATAACTCATAGCTGTTGACTACTGTAGACGTGTTGCTTTAGGCCCTGTTCCCACTGGCATTCCTCCTGTTGACTTTCAGAGAGTTAGGATCAGACCCCTTTGGCTCAAGGAGTGAAGTTAATTAAGACTGAAAGAAGCATGCACATTCTGAAATCAGCCTCCAGTTTTGGGAAGGAGAACAGTGGAAATAACTGACCTGTACAGGGATACTGAAGTACTTCACAGTATGACACAGCCGTACACTGAAAAGAAAGCTTTCCTTGAGTTATTTGGGATATTTAATTTTGATATGTAACTTGCAGTGTTGTCTTTTAATAGAAGGCTTGATGTGGTTTTTCCTCATTCCTCACAAAACTGTTCTTTGACAAGGAGAAAAACATATCTATCCAATTAATAGGCGTCTTTCTGTATTCAGCAGTAGGCATTAATTGTTTTAAGTTGGTACTATTATATGAAAGCTTCTTACAAAACTTTCTCAGTTTGGTAGGAAGGAGTGGCAATTCGATGCATTCTCAGCTGTGCAGGTCTAATGTATGTTGCTTGTAAAGACACCTACATGTTACAACAAAAATGCCCCTTATAGCCAAGGATATGTAACCACAGTCTAGAGAATTACAAAAGAAAGAGACTCAACTAAGTACTGAAACAGGAAAAAAAAAAAAAAGGCAAAATTGAAAGATTCTTCTTTTTAAAAGCAGTAAAGTTAAAAAAGAGAAAAAATACTATTCCATAAATACATAAAAAAAAGAAAAAATAGAAAATCTCAGTGCTACACTGTATGCTAAAGTTGCTATCAGTTAGGGAATGTATGTGGAACAAAAGTCTGAAATACTAAATACTATAAATTCAATTGATATTCAGGTCTCCAGAAAAAGAAGAGATTTGTAGGTTTGATGAAAACAACAAAGGCCAATTTGGGGGAAGGTAGGAATACTGCTAGAAAAGCTGAACAATACATCTCTCTGTAAAGTTGCATGTGACTGGTGTAAACGCTGTTATGTCACAGCTAGGGCTGCTGAAATTGTAAGCAGGTAGCAAAAATTTTCTGTTTAATATTTCAGAGATAATAATTGTTCTGAATGCTTTAAATAGCATAGGAAATGTAGTGTCACAAGCTTGACATTTGAATATTAATATTGATACTGAAACAGTCTCACCACAAAGGATGCCAGGACTGCATGAGGAAGGACAGCATTTTGATTAGATAAAGACACAAAAGTTTTAAAGCCCTTCAGATAGATTGAAAAAAATCCTTATGAAAACTGGGGCAAAATTACATGTCAGGACTGGAAATTTTATATCCGGTTTTGGGAATATCCCTATTCAGTTAAAGCTGGAAGCAAAGAGATGTTTTCCTGTTATTTCTGTCTTCCCGTCTTTCTGGCATTTGCTATTTGACGAAGTTGGTCTCAAAAAGGTTAATAGGACAGGGCTACAGAGTGGTTTAGATTGACTTGTAAAAATACATGAATATATGTGGGTTCAAGAAAGGGCACTTGGGGATGTATTGTCTTTACTGTCTGTACGCAGACTTGCTTTACATGTATTG